GACGCGGTGGCGGGGGGCGGCCAGCACGGCCGCCACCCCCTCGAGGAAGAGGCTGAGCAGCGGCGAGAGGAAGCGCTCCTGGGACATGTCGGCCAGGCGCAGCGTGATGCTGTTGCTCAGCATCTCGTCCGTGATGACCGTCACCCGCAGCGTGCACTGCGCCGTCGCGGTGTGGACACCGTCTGTGGGGCACCAACGGGGACGTTAAGGGCAGTGGCGGCACCTGGCGCTGGGACTCTCGTTGGTTACCCCCCACCTTGGACATGGGGCCTGGGATGGGAGGGAGGACAGATGGAGAACGGGAGGAAGGAGGGACGGCAGCCGGACAGATGGATGGAGGGGGGGTGGATGGACAGATGGACAGAGGAGGGGAGGGAGAGGCTGAGAGGGACGGGATGTAGGGAGGAGTACGGGAAGGAGCGATGGGAGTAGGATGGGAACAGGATGGATGTAATGGGATGGAGGGAACAGGATGGATGGAATTGGAGTGGGATGGGAGCAAGGGATGGGAAGTGGGATGGGATGGAAGCGAGGGATGGGAAGTGGGATGAGAGAGGATGGATGAGATGGAGGGAACAGGATGGGATGGGATGGAGGGCAGGGAGTAAAATGGGATGGGATGGGATGGATGAAATTGGAGCAGGATGGGACAGAGTGGGATGGGACTGGACAGGATGGATGGGAGCAGGATCGAGTGGAGGGATGGGAGTGGGATGGGAGAGGATGGATTCCCAATGGGACAGGATAGGATGGATGGAATCGAGCAGGATGGGATGGGAGTGGGATAGGAGTGGACAGGATGAGTGGGAGCGGAATGGGACGGGATGGAGGGGTGGAGGAGGGATGGGAGCAGGATTGCACAGCAGGATGACAGGATGGAGGAATGGGAGTGGGATGGGAGATGGGAGGGAGGGGAGCAGGATGGGATGGGATGGGATGGGATGGGATGGGATGGAGGGAGCGGGATGGGTCGGAATGGAGGGCACAGGATGAGAGAAGGGAGCGGGCTGGCACGGGCCAGCACAGAGGGCACCAACGGAGTGGCGCCATGGAGGAAGGGGCAGCGAAGGAGGGACCAACCCGGAGGCGACGGGGCCACCAGGGCGGGGGCCGGCGGCCG